AAGACATGTCCCAGGGGAGTTTCTGGTCCCCAAAGTCGTTTCTGGTCCCCACCTGTCATTTTGCTCCTCAGCATGGCTGCCTAAAAATGCTGCAGGATTTCTCAAACATGCATGACTGAGTCAAAGTAAGGCTTTGGGCATGTATTTTATGGGAGTATAACATTATAACATGATATAAAACCCAAAAAAGTTGATTTTACATGATATTGCCCCTTTAAAAAAACAACATTTGTTATTATTGTCAGAATTTTTGTTTCAGTGACTGCCTGGCTTATTTGCTGTAAATACAACAAGGACAATCTATGATTCCTACTTGGACAGTAGTATCCAGGAACACACGTGGTGCAGTTGTCTTGATGAAAGTTTCCCATATCAGAGCTGAATGTTCCTGCAGGACAAGGGACAGGGACTGGTYCTCCACTGGGGCAAAAGAAACCAGCTGGGCATGGAGCTTGATCTGCTTTGCTGGATCCCGAATCACAATAAAACCCTGCCTGGCAATCACCTGAAAATATGTAAAACACATGCAAACATGTCATCAAAGGGAATCATAATTATAATCAGTTTTACCATTATAACATGCATTTCTAAATGACTGCTGAAAGCAATCAACTGATTTCCCACTATTTTGTTGGCAACAAGGCATCAAGAATGCAATTACTCATTCTCATAACACTCTACCAATTCTGCAAATGCTCCTTCTTCTTAATTTCATTCTTTTTCTTTTTCATTCGAATATTTATTTCAAGAAGTTGGGAAAGAGTAAGGGCTTTGAGCTCAAAATAAAGTCTAATCCCAAATGATAAAATACACATGCAACAGTGTGTTCCATTTATGTGTTTAAAGGATCAAGTTGAACAGACAGCATTGGTTAGTATAATTATCTCACTGCTGATTAATGGAAATTGCGCTGACAGAGTCACTAAAGCAAATATTTCATTAGCTTTATTTATCCAAGGAGTTTTTTATTCCAACTACCTGCTCTTAGCCCTTGTTGGCAGAAAATCCCAGGAGGACACAGAGATCCAGTGTTGTTGTCAGTTGGATTTGGCACCTTTGCACCCATCAGACAAAGAAAACCAGCAGCGCACGATCCCGAGGGCTCGACCAAACCTTCAGACCCACAGAACTGACCTGCTGGACACATCAGGCACTGACCTGCAAACACAAAGATTGGCAGCTCTGACATCGGCCCTAACAGCAAAACAAGCTTGTTGCCACGCGTGATCAATCAGACCTTGATCAACGTGTCAAGGTCTGATAAAAAAAATAATAAAATTGTCACTGCGGGTGGGGGGAGTGCTTTTATCAGATAGGTGTTTTTTGTTTTTGCTGCAATGACAAAAAAAAAGTTTTGTATTGATTTTATTTAATAATTTTGGTCAAAATCATGACAAATATCCTTCTTATACCTGTAGTGATGAGACCCTGGTTGGGGCTGAAAGTGCCTTTGGGGCATGGTATAGCCCGACCATCTGGATTTCCCCTGGGACAAATGAACCCGGCTGGGCAAGGCAGAGGACTTGAGACACCAGCCAAACTTCCCCTGGTGGGACTTGGAATCAGAGGCTGGCAGTGGAACCCAGGAGGACAGGGAATACATTCTCTTTGGCCAGGCAAATCCTGGAACCACCCTGAAAAATACATTAAAGCAGTAATTAACTAGCACAAATAAAATCTTGTTTTGTGGACTTGCTTGTAGTTTACCAAGAGGACACGGTTTGCAGTCGTCTTTGCTTTTTCTTCCAGTATCATTCAGGTAAAAACCAAGTGGGCAGGGGAATGGTATGCTGGTGCCCTCTGGACAGTAGTGGCCTGCTGGACAGACACCCCCAGACACACCAGATACTGGAGCAGCAGACTGAGAACCATCAAGACAGTAGAAACCTATAGCAGTAGACATATTTTATAAAACATTTTCGAATTTTATATCAAACAAGATCCTTAGAGCTATGTTTTAGTTTATATTATTTTTGTACCTTGCAGACAGGGTCCAGAAACTTTAGAGAGACCAGATTCTGAGCAGTAAAATCCTGGACTGCAGCTTTGACACTGGGAACTGTCAACAAGTCCACCCTGCTCACTGAAATAACATGTTTCAACAAAAATAAATTACAGAAGTAACTTGTGACATTACATAAAAATGGATGGCTCGTTTCAAGTGTTATATTACTTTAATGTACTGAAGAAAATAATGAAAACTATAACAAAACTATAACATGCAAAACAATGTTGATTTTACTTTGTAGAAGTAGTTTAACACAAGATGTAACCAATAAGACGAGATTATTTTGCCCTAATTGCCTGGTAGATGACAAGAACTGGAGTTTTATCATAATTGCCCTGAGCAATGATCAGATTGCAAATATCTGATTTTAATATTTTACATAATATACATACATGGGATAAGTGTAGTTCCAAAGACTATAAAGTATAAAGCTGGATATGCACCTGAATGTTCCTTTTGGGCACAGTTTTGGTACAGACGTTCCCACAGGGCAAAAAAACCCTGGAGGGCACAAGGCTCCTGTCAGAGTGTCTGATGGTGAATGTTCAAAGGCTCCTCCAACACAAAAAAATCCTTCAGCACAAAGCCCACTGGGGAACGTCCTCCCTTGAAGCATATTTATTCAAAACTTTTATTATGGTGTCTAAAAAAGCAGAAATGCAGACTTATCTTTGTGACTTTTAATTTAAGCTCTAGTTGCCCTGCACAATACACTCAAATACTATACGTCAGAGGAGCGGATCGAAAAAATACCTGTTCCTTTACAGTACATGCCGGGGTCGCACAATGTGCACTGCGATTTCTCAACTAGTCCTGACAAGTTTCCATAGGTTCCTGATGGACAGGGATGCGGATCTGCTGATCCAGGAGGGCAGTAAAACCCTCTCTCACAGGAGCGTGGAAGCATCATGCCTGATGTGTAAATGCAGAATTAAATCGTGCATTTTATCTAAAGAAGTACTGAATAACTAGAGGCACATTACAGTAATGCTAGAAGCTAAAATGAACAAAACTATATAGGCTGCAGACTGCTTTACCAAGATCTTGACAATAAAAGCCAGCAGGGCACATCTCACAGCTCCCTCTGCCTTGTCTGGMCTGGTACCTGCCAGGAAGGCAGGGCGTCTGTCTGACACTGCCCTGAAATGACAATTAAGCTGATTTTATGAGACTATATCTGGGGAGTAACACCTATCCCAAGATATAACTATTATAACAATAATAGGGAAGACAGAGATAGCACAAGGTGAAGACTGAGACAACTTTTTTCTCGGTCCAGGAGACAACATTAAGTGACCCCAGCATAATTCGCATGTCAAAACAGAGTAAGAGCACTTCTGGGAGGACATCTCATACAATATTCAACAGTGATGAGTGACAATAGCTTGAGGACTAATGCTGTATGGCTGACCTTCTCACAATAGTGTCCCACTGAGCAGACATGATGTTGTGGCCTCTCAGAGCTCTGTCCTTTAGGACAGTAGTAGCCTTCTGCACATTGGCCACTTGGCTCTGCCATTCCTCTCTGTTGGCAGTATTGACCTGGAGGACACGGCTGACAAGTTTCAACTGTGGATCCGCCAGTGGAACCTGGTGAACAGGCAAAATGAATAAAAATAAATAAATTTCAAGCATTGATTAAAAGAAATAATTGTACAAGGTTTATCATTCCCCTGCATACATAATGCTCACTTGCTTTTGAAAACCCAAACCCCAGATTGCTTTGCAAGTTCAAATAATTAAAGCGTCAAAGTAGATAACAATGTCATTTGAATGCAAACTACAAAGTACCTGCTCCCACATCGGTTTCTAATTCACAGGCATGAAAAAAGGAGCTACTGCACATTTTAATGAGATTCTAGTTGCGCGCCGCGAGACAGAAATACAATTACACGATTAAACCGTTTTGTGACAAATATTCAGAAGTGCCCAAAGGGAGGAAAAAATGCTTCATAGGAAGTTTTCATGTTTTCCCACATCATTGAGKTGCAAAGAAATACACCGGTTTGCATGAGGACATTAAGGGGTAAAAGTGACAATGTGTGCAGAAAAAAAAAGATTGGCCTTGTTTAGCTCAGCTTTGTATTTTATCTGATTACTCTTTTTTTTCTTTTTGTTTTAGACTCAGAAAGAGCCAGGGATTATTCACTTGTCCTGAAATGGTTTTACAAGCAGTTTTCTTTTGAGAACTATACATATTTTATGGCACTGCAACTACTTTACAAAAAAAAAGTATAAAATCTCACGTTTTATGGTTCCAAGAGGGCAAGGCAAAGGAAGTTGAGTACCAACAGGACAGTAGTGTCCAATGGGACAGAGGTTAACATGAGGGTCTGAGGAGCCCCAAGGACAGTGGTATCCAGCAGCACAAGGCCCTGCAGGGACTTCTAGACCGGTCTGGTTACAATAAAAACCTGCCTCACAGGGATGAGGGTAAGCAGAACCCAAAGGACAAAAGAAACCTGGGGGAAAAAACACAAACATGTTTCATGAATTTCTTCAAGTGCAGCCATTAAATAGGCCATTCAAGATAAGTTTTCTCCTGAATGCACTCCCTCAGCAGTGACTGTTTACTTTTTTCCAATCCAAAAAGTTGCTATAACTTTTCAGAAGAGCTAATTTTCATGCTGCACGAGTTCAAATACGTTCTTTTATGCGCCGATATCAGCAATTACTTTACACTGCTTTCATGCAAATCACTGCCCAACAATCTACAGCTCCTTTTCAAAAGGGAGACTGTGCTTTCACATTCAGGCCTTTTAAGTATTCAAACAGGGGACTTCAAGAGTTACAGTAGGTGCATCTAGTGGAGAACGTTGATTTGCATAAAAATCAGCATCTTCTGCTGGCTTGACCGAGTTGCTGTTCAATGAATATAATTCTATCATGAAGTCTGTATGTAAGCACCTTTGGKTTCAATTCACACTCACTGACAAAAAAAAAAAGCTAAGCACCCAGAATGAGCGATCTGATTTAGATGTATAACTTGGCACACATGCAGAGCAGCTATTGGTATGTAAATGATMTGAACTGAAAAGTCTATAATTTGCACCAGAAGGCATGGGTGATTGCACCTTGAGTAGAAAGAGTGTTTTCAGGCAGTTAGATAGCGAAGGTCACTAGAAGCCTTGTAAAAAGCATTACCAGCACTTCATGGAGGTCAACAGGGGTTTGCTGTTGATTTACCCAAGCCTGGGTGGTCATATTATGCAAAGATGTGTTTATGTTGAAACCAAAGTACATGTGAGAACACCCATATAAGTCATGAAGGTTCTAGTTGTCGGAGACAGATCCCAACAAGGAAGGTTATATCGGTGCCTACCATCAAGAAACAGGTGCTAGATGCTTTACAGCTATCGGTGCCATCCTGCACCATGTCTTGACAAATGGCAGTAACAAAACTATAGGTTCACTTTCCCATGTAGACTACCATTAACAACTGAGAGATGGCTGAGTTCTGTTGTGGTGTCCATGAAGCATCAACTGATAACAAGTGATGTCTTAGGTTCAGCTTTGAGTCTTTGGTCAATTTCAAGGAGACACAGGTGCTACTTTTGGTACCATGATGGGGGAAGCCATAAAGCAGGACTTCAAGTCACCGGTGGTTGGTTAATAGGTGGTTGGATTTGTCGGTGACATCCTGTGTTTGCGTGGCTTACCCATCATAAAGCCTGAGTAGTGAGTTCTGCAAAAATTGGGGACTGAAAATTTGAAAAAGGCATGCCTTGCAGTCCTTGTTCTCTGCTGCGCTACAGCACCACTTCAACGCCCCCGCAGTGGAGCCTGCAATAGGGCCACCAAGGACTGAGGATAAACAGCCATTCAGATTTCTCAGAAATTGGCGGTATTCCTGAATCATGAGCTTGTTTCTCCACCATTAGCACAGCTGCAGCACACCAGCAGTCTTGAGCTTGAACAAGGGTAGGCGCTGTGTGGGGTAAAGGTGTGAGAGAAGTGCGTACACAAGCATGATTGACACTGGTTAAACAATCCTGGTTCTGATTGGCTGTTTCTGATCAGAAGCAGTGTATTTCTGCAAATGGCTGTAGCACCACTAGGAGGCCCCAGAGAAGTTTTCATTTTATTTGTTTTTACAGATTATATGTCTCATATTTTACTATCAGGACATAGTGACAGTTTTAATAAATATGTAAAAATTAAAAAATGAAAACTATAAACGTTACTGCAGCTTTAAGTCTGGCACAGTCCTTCAACAAGTCAAGAACATGTCTAAAGATCATGTTGAAGACCTCAAGTGATCAACCTAGTATTTTTTTCCAAGTCAAATAAGTGTGAGATCAGCTCATACATCAAKTCTGACCCAGTGCTGGTCTGCTGAATTTTAAGAGACACTTGTGATTTGACTCCCATGGCTAAGTGCCTCTGTTCTGCACTAAATCACTGCTTGTCTCTAGGCCCAGAGTTGATATGATACCAGTAGTGTTCCCATACTGTCCTTCATTTTTCTGTTCACCATTTGATCTGGGTGCCTTTTTTTGTCAGTAAATGTATTTTTAAGATCATTAAACAAATCATTATTTAAAAAATAACTATATTATAAAAAAGTAAGTAGTCCTCATTTAAAGGACTTTGTCCTGATTTAACTTTATTTTTTAAGAGTTCAAACAATACTGCTAAGAGTTTGCCAATCAGGAGAAATTATTCATTATGTTCACGCAATTTTATTACACATTTCACAAGTAAAGACGATAACATGTGTGCCTGAGGGGATCGAACAAACTATCACATTATTGCACAAGTTCACTGTCAGGATTTACCCACCCTTAGGACATATATCTCCTCGGTAGGTGGAACATGCATAATGTGGACTCGTGAGACGATTTTCTGAGTGATTCACATTGTGATGTGAATCCGCCTGTGGCACTGTAGCCACTTTGATCCAGCTAACGTTTCTTCCTGTGAGAGATGATGGCAGACAAAGCACAGAAAGTTGCAGAGTTTGATTTTTTTGTTGTTGTTGTTTGTTGACACTATAATAAACTCATTTCTAATTACAACATTGATTTCTCAAGTAAACAACACATATTATAAGGCAGTTACCTGGTAAAAAACAATCACAGAATAGTTAGTTTTATCATGTTACTGAATTGTGGCATCCTTCGAATTCCAGAATTACCAGAATAACTGGAGCAGGACAGATTGTACATCCACAAGGCGGCATCTGTCTTCATGGAAGAAAGTTCCAACATTTCTAGAAGACATCTGAGTGAAGACGAGTTGGCTCGAGGTGTAGGGCTATCAGCACCTCCAGGACAATAGAAACCCTTAGAACACAAACCTATTGCACAAAAAATAAATAAAAAATAAAAAAATGACAGCTGCATCAGACTTGTGAATTGACGTGGGCTTATATACAGTGTATACTGTAGGTAGTAGTCCCCCCCACCTGAGGGCTGTGAGGCTCCAGGATTGACACAGTATTTCCCAGGGGGACAAGGACGACAGTGGAATGGGAAGAACGCCCCAAGCTCTGGAAGGAAACTACCAACAGGACAGGGTTTGGGTGTCCCACTACCCAGAGGACAGAAGTGTCCCATGGGACAAACATCACCGTAAGGCTGGGAGACAGGCGAAGGCTCAGTGGACCCTGAGGAACAAAAATGACCTGTAGGGGACAGCGTGTTTAGATTTCCCACCAAGATGGCTGAAACATTTGCAATTCATGATAAGTTATCAGTGTTATCCAGAGAAATCAATATGGGCTCAGGTGAGAGAGTTTAAGCTTCTAAAGAAATACATTTTAAATATTGTCCATTAATGATTCTATACATGTACGACTTAGAAAACTGTGACCCTATTAATTCAAACTGATTGCACAGAGACAAATCAGTCAAAAATAAAAACAATCAATCAGTCAAACAAATTATTGTATAGCCTTTAGCTCTTGTGCAAGCTCCGGGAAAAATAAAAATAGACAAAGGAGCATTAATTTAAGTGACTTAAATGTATTTTACCTAAGAAAAATGTTAAAACAAAATGCAATTATTAACAGACATAAAAAAAAGATTTTTAGTTTCAATACAACATTTTGATTTTGTCTAAGTTTTCTTTGCCTCAAGCATGTTTTCCCGCCTTTGATTTATAAGCTTTTAATTAATTGTGATGACTCAAACTTMAGCCCAAACAGAAGCTTCAGTTTTGTTCAGCTTTCTGACAAGCTGGTTATGAGCAGGCAGACCTGGGCTGCAAGGTCCAGATGGTTCTGTCAAAGCACTGCTGTTACAAAAGAAGCCAGACGGGCAGGGGGAGCAGTCATTCAGGGACATCCTGTCAGCTAATGGGCTGACATAGCCCAKTGGACAGGGAGAGGGCAGAGTTGAACCCTCCATACAGTAAAAACCTGCGGAAAGACGKTATATTCAATATTTATRTTAATGAAATGCATGTTAGAGTTTGCAGATATGCGAGCAAAGGTAATCCACCTGGTGGGCAGCTCTCACAATCTGACTGTCCAGATAAAGACTGAAAAGTGCCTGGACTGCAAATGACAGGCTCTGCTCCACCAGCAGGACATGCATGGCCGGGTGAACACTGGTATCCTATGAAAGAATCAGATTATAACAACTCCAGTAGCACACATTTCTGCAACATTTTTTACAACCACAACAAACATAACGAATAAAAAACCAAGTTTTAAAACAGATATGTTCTTTTAAATGCACTGATGTGGCAGTTTATTTGATTGTAATTAATAATTCCAAATGTGGCACCATGGAACAATGCAAAGGTTAAAAAAAAGAAGAAAAAATACAAACATTGGCTCTGAGCAGGCATATTGTGCCATAAAAGTCCAGTGGAAGAAAAGGAGAAGAGAATGCAGGCTCCACTGCAGGTGCCTCGAAGTCTGACAGACACAAGCTCCAGACTATTTATAGGTTCTGGGCTAATTTATGGGCAAATTAGCAATGCATATTTCAATCAAGGACTAAAAGAAGGTTTGGCATCTCTCAAGKTTGTGAATGAAGTGGTGAAGGAAATGCTTATTAAATCACCTTTACAGCACATGTGGAATAGGATTATTAAGGTAAWGAATGATCACAGGTGACATTTACAACAGCAGTTACAGCAGAGCTAAATTCATGGAGTCAAGTGTTTTCTCCTTCAAGATTATATATCTCAGCTTGGATTTTCTAAAGATAAATGTATTAGAGGCAAATACACTCAAATGTAACTTATCAKATATATCACTCTGCTGTTTAAGTACAACCTTTTAAAATATGATTTCTTTTACTAATTCATAATAGTTTAATTTGGGTTTTAAACAGGTGATTACTGGTTTAAAGTATGCCATGAGTATWAAAAAAACATTATAACAGCAATGAAAATATAAATAAATTCATTCCTGAAGTATAACATGGTTTTTATGACTTGTGAAAACTCAAAGTGAAAGAATCTATCAGGTTAGATATTATGTGTCAAACACAAGGCCTGCGGGCCAAATGTAGCCCACGGGTGATTCCCATGTGGCCCGCCAGGGGGGGAATCCCCCCCCCCCACACACACTTTTTTATTATTATTATTTTTTTGCTTAACATGAAATTTGTTTCTTATATCAGTGATAAACTTTAAATTTATGGTTAAATGCAACAAAATTAATTTAATAAAACTAAATGAAATAAAAAATTAATTAAAAATTCCTGTCCATGAGCTGTTGGCTTGAAGTAACTGAGCAATTTAGTTGGATAGCACAGTACTAATGTCTGAAAATAAGCTGCTTAAAAGTCACCATCAAACATAAACTAAATCTGCCAAAATGCAGCTACTCACTCAGTGAGTAAAACTTTATTTGTTTTACTTTTAATAATATTTCTGTATTTATTTCAGATTTAGTCAGTCATACACTTAGTTCTTATCAGTGTTTAAAAGAGGACGTGTTAAAACTCTGTTTAGTCAAAGTTAAACATGAAACATCAAAGTTCATAACAAGTGGCCCTTCGAGGGCCACCATAWTGCTTATGTGGCCCTTGGTGAAAATGAGTTTGACACCCCTGGGTTAGATGCTGCATTTACTGTTTGATGTAAGCTTCATTATCTATGCATGTGCACTAAGGTCTGTCAGGTCCTCAATGATCAAAATCACCACTAAATTTATTTGGATTTTTTTGTTGTTGTTGTTGTTTTTGCCTTGAAAGCTGATTGTTTGTTTTGTTTTGGTTCAACTATTTTTTTCAATACTGTGTGTATTATAATTCTTGCACATCATCCATGCAAATTTTGACTGATGAATAAGCGGCATGTAAGCTTATCTGCAAACTGCARGAGAGGAATACAGTATTTGTTGGCTACTTACTTAGAAACTGAATAGGATCATAAAGAATGGATACATTTTTAAGAACCAGTGAAGTGTGCATTGCTGACCATTGATGGTGTGTTTTGTACCTGGCTGAAATCCAGACACTGATCCTGTTGGGCAGAACCACCCAGGGGGACAGAGGAGGTCGGCAAATGTCTGAGCCCAAAGGGGGCAGTACAAACCAGAGTAACAAGCTTCACAGTCATCCTTGGACTCAGCTCCAGGCCTCCCAAGGAAAGTACCTGTACATAACYGATAAATTACCCGGCAAGCTAAATAACTTCTCTTTCAAACACATACTGTACATTCTCAGAAAAGATAAGGGATAACTGTCATGTGTTACAACATTGCTCCATTTATTCACTTAATTAAGTACCCATCTGACCATTTTAAAGCTCTATTGGACTCCCATTAAATTTTACAACCATTACTAAAGTTCTGCATACATTAGGCCATCAAACTGTTCCCTTGGGGAAACTATGGCAATTTACTGTACGTTTGAAGCTGTGTATTAAAAAGTGAGAGGTCAAACAAACAGTCCTTTTTTTATTTAAAAGTTTCCACATTTTTTACAGCTTGTCTGCAGTTTGTTATCTTTTTTTTTTTTTACCTGGAGGACAGGGACTTGGTTTCGTGCTGCCTTTAGGGCAGTAGTGACCTGCYGGACACACGTCACCATGAAACTGACCCATACGTGGATCGTCGGCAAATAAGGAAGAAGGTGGCATTTCTCCTGTAATTGAGACAGTTAACCCTTCATTGGGTGTTATTACTCGTTATTTTAGTGGGTGAACTAGAAAAAAAGGTCAGTAAGAAAAAACACTAAAGAAAATGCTTGAGTWAAGTTCATTTAAGTCATTCACAGCATTGCTGAGTCAAAAGCCATGCGAAGGTTAAACAAAACCAAATATGTGCTAATACAAAATTTGCATTGCAAAGTACTTTTAAAGGCTGCGTCAGATGATATTGTTTTTTTTTATTCCATATTAAAACAATGTACTACTAAAATAAGCCCTTGTACATGCTGCCATGAATCTGTTTAACATTATGTAAAGGGCAAGTGGAAGTTACCAGTGACATTTCTCAAAGGTGTGGCAGTTTTGGACCCATCTCTGCAGTAGAAGCCAGGATTACAGGGTCCTGATGGAGTGACAGCACCAGCCTCAGCACAGTAGTGTCCAGGCAAGCAGGGCTGACATGCATCTATTGAAATGGCCCCTAAAGGAGAAAAACATTTAAGTACAAAGATAAATGTTTGTACAACTAATATGGAAAAGATGAGTAAAATTTTGCAACTAAATTGGAATTCCTTAATGTATTGCATATTGGTCATCACCTCAATGAATGTCAGCTACTACCACACCAAACATTAGCTCAGTCTCTGTAAAACTGAGTTATAGTCATTTTGTTGTTTGTCTTATTCTATTACGAATCAGGTTGACTTCAAAATTCAACCGATTATAAATGTCCAATTATTGCTTTCTGAGAGTTTTGTTTAAATACACTTCGTGGTTTATAAAATATTTTGCTGTCAGACCAACAAAGAAATATGTGCGTGTACAAAGACGAACAATCCCTAACCTTCTATGTCTGCAGCAGGTGGTAAAACATGACTGTAAAATGTAATATTTTCACCTTGCTAATTGTTTAACAATAGTTTCAGATTACTTTATAAATCATTYCCTCTGCACTATGGGTAATTGTGCATCTGTTTAATTACAGAAAGTATTATGTCACCATCTGTGGAGCTGAAGGTTCCTGCCGGGCATGGGACCATGTGGCTTGTACCCTGTGGGCAGAAGGATCCCGCGGCACACCGTCTTCCTGTCGGGCCCTCCTCTGGTTGGGCAGTAACAGAACCATGGACACAGAGGTAACTATAGAAAAAGGATAAGGTAACAGAGGTAACTAAAAGAGACAAATGATAGACAACACAAACAGAATTAAACAAAAGCAGTTTATCTTCACTAATCTGTCTGTGAACACGACAAAGAATGGATTCAGCCTGGATGTGTTTACCCAGGAGAGCAGACCCCAGTTGGAGCAGACAGACCAGATGAACTGCAGAATCTCCCAGGTGGGCAGAGCTCACAGTCCGATTTATTGGACAACCCCATCTGGCTGCTGAAAGTGCCAGCTGGGCATGGAAATGCTACACCAGTCTGCGTTCCTGTAGATAAATACACATTATAACTGCAGATGGTCCAGGGCTAAGCATCAAAGAACAATTTATGAAGACCATGGCTATCTTGATTATGCTCACTAATGGTCATTTGCATAATTAGAAAACTATTTAGTGTCACAGTTGCTCATTTAAGAATACAAAATAAATAAAACAAGTGCAATTTTTCACAACCACACATTTTGTCTCACTATCTCTCTGAGCTCCGACCATCACCAGTGTCACGTTTTTGTTTATTTGTGATAACATGACATGGAAATGTTGTACATTTGTCATGGATGTGTTATAATTGCTGGTCTTCTGTTGCCTACCAGGTGGGCAATAATGTCCTTTAGGACACAGCATGGGAGTGTGAGTTCCAGACGCCTGCCCTGTGTCAGCATTCACCGAGCCGGCACAGAAAAATCCTGCGAGGCATTCAATACAGTCTGCCTGCAGAAAGGAAAGGCATGGGCTCACTTTTTTAAATCCAGAACAAATACACTTAACTCAATAAATAGACAATATGAGCACTTTGAGTTTTAGCATTAAAATATACCGAAAGCAGCTGTGTATTATTTTTCTCACCTGACCAGGTAAATCCTGATAGGTTCCAGGTGAGCAGGGAACCTGTCTCTCAGATCCAGATGGGCACCTGTTCCCAGGTGAGCAAGTTACAGATTCCTGCAGGTTGTTATTTCCTCTGCCTGGGCAGTAAAATCCAGTTGGACAGATATGGGAAGGAAAAGAGAGCCCTCTGCTGARGCACAGGAAGCCTGAAATTCCAAGACAACATTTTTTTCCAAGCAGTCAGAGAYATTGTGTGATCTCTGCCCAATGGCTCAAATTATGTCATGGAAGCATTATCTTCCAAGCACTGAGGCCCATAAATTAGTTCCAACCTGGAGGACAAGGCAGGCAGTCAGACACATGTCTGTTTCTGGTTGTGTTGCTGTAGTATCCTACAGGACAGGGGACTGGGGCTGAAGAACCCTGAGAGCAGTAATGCCCTTCAGGACATCTATCACCTGTCATCCCTCCGTCCTCCGGTGTGGGTGACCTAGCGCCGGAGAGACAGTAGTATCCTGCACTACACAAGCCCGATGCCTCATCTTTGCCAGGGGATGCGCAGAACGAGCCTGGTTTGGTACGAATACAGATGTGAATTCAAAATCACTCGGAAAATCTTCACTCGAAGTCAAAACGATGAAAATCAAGCCTTGCAGGCTGCATGAATTCAAGCTGGCATGCATTTGGACAGTACATTTAGATAACTTTGCTGCTTTTAATGACATTTTAACAACTCACTCATTGAAGTGGGCTATTTTAACAGACTAATTATCATCTTGGTCATTTACGTCAACCCCCGGTCAAATGCTAAACCTATGGGGACACTAGAAATCATTAGCTGTAAATGATGTGTGACCTGGAAGGCATGGTAAGCAGTCCTGGGGTTTTGTCATCTGAGTGTGAGGATTGAAGGATCCAGCTGGACACGGGTACTGGTGTTTGGACCACGTCCCGGCTGGGCAGTAATGACCCGCTGGACACAGAAAACTCTCAGACACAGAGCCGTTACTCATGCTGGGGCAATAAAATCTGTCCAGGCGAAACACAATTGCAATAACTTAGTTTTAAAGCATTGTTTGCAGTGAAGCTTCTGCAGACATACAAAAGGAGGGACATCCTTTATGTATGAAAGCATCAACATGAACCCTACATATGCTATTAAAGCTCTTGCAAGTGCCTTCGTCTTTATATGTGAAAATGTTTAGCTGTTTACAATTAATAGAAACTGTGTGTGGCTGATAAAGAGAGTTTACCCCTGGGGACAGGTAGTGCAGCTGGCTCGGCTCTCTTCTGTGCTGATGGTTCCCAAAGGGCAGTGCTGTGGTGCCACAGAGCCCCTTGAACAGTAATAACCTGCTTGTGTGAAGACAAGAGTCATGTAAGAGAGGCACACACACACACACACACACACACACACACACACACACACACACACACACACACACACACACACACACACAAACGCACATAACCCACGTAAAAACAGGGTTCGATTTCTACTCTCTACAGAGCAGCTGCTTACGTTCAGCCCTATTAGCTTGAAAGAGTCTTTTGTTTGCCTCTAAGCTCAGCTTTCTTTGAGCTTATGTAAATCAAAAATYTAATTATGTGTTTTAAAATGTCCCATTGGCATTGTGTTGTAATGTATAGGTAAGAATGCAATATGCAGTCAGAACAACAGCAACGTGATCGAATTATTTCTACATTCTTCAAAAAAATCTTTTTGTTTTAAGTCTTTTTTTTTGTGCCTCCCTCTGCGGTTTTCTCTGTCTTATTTTTGTCTTGATCAAATACAGAAAACTCATTTGCAAGAGCCACTCGGTCACCTTTTGGGCATGGTCCTCCACGGCTGTCCGTGAAGGGCGGGTCAGGACGACCTGCTCCTCCCAGACAGAGGAATCCTTCCCAGCATTGTCCTGATGGTGCTGAAAGCCCCTCGGTGCTGCAGTAGTAGCCCGGGAGACAAGGACGACAATCCTCCTACAAAGAAAACAAAGAGCAACATGAAGAAGAAAAAAAAACTATAAAAGCTACAACAAAAAAGGGTTTGATTTGTTACCAACTCAACTTCCTGCAAATGAAAATCAGCTTGTTTCACATGTTTCAAGTATCACCTTTTTTTAAACCAAAGAAGATAAATGATTAAATTTATCATAGCTCGTTTTGAGCCTATGTAATGCAATTTCTAATATTCTGGAATCAAAACCATCCAGATGAGATTCCAAATGGACAAACTTCTCTGACAGGTGAGTGTAATGTTGAGTGAAAGCCACCTTGGAGGCTAATTTGCTGATGTTAGAGAAAGTTCCTCGTGGACAGGGCAGAGGTAGGACGGTAGCAAGAGGACAGTAATGACCAGTAGGACATGGCCCTCCTTCTCCTGGTAAAAAAATAATCAGTACAAGCTCAGACAGACATCTTATCAGTCATCAAAATAAGTAAAATAAAAAAACCCTTCTTTACAAACACAAAAATAAAATACTGTGTATTAGCAAAAACTACAGTTCGACTCTTCCAAAATAAATATTCRCAATTTGTCCTCTGTTTTCTAAGTGAGTCACTTTGGAGAGCATGTGATGTACAAACATTTGTTTACCTGTATCCTGTGAGAGAGGTTGTGGGGAGATGTTTCCATGTGAACAGTAATATCCCTCCTGGCATGGCCCTGTGACAGCTGTGTTATTTCTGGAAGAGCAGTAATGTCCTCCATCGCATTGCCTGCACTGGGACATAGACCAATAGCCTGGATCTGGACCATAAGTTCCTGCTGGACAGCTTTTCAAATCAAATCCAGTTCCTTCAGGACAGTAAAAGCCTGCAGACCAAAGACAAACACAGCAAAATGAATGAAACTGAAATACGAATAATTTAAAAAAGGATACTATTATAAGTACGTCTGCATATCTCATAATTTCATGAAAATAGTCCTGAACTTAATTGTATGCACCAACCTGCAGGGCACAGGAACAAAGAGCCAGACACACAGTACCAGCCTGGTATACACAGCTCACACTGAAAAGCTTGTGTAACAGCGACATGAGTCCCAGGATCACAGGGCACAGGTTGAACAGTTCCCTCTGGGCAGTAGTGACCTTCAGGGCAGGGTCCTCCTGTGATTCCATCAGCAGGGGTGGGTGTGACAGCTCCCTTTGTGCAGAAATATCTGCATGAGAAACATAAAATAAGATGTCAAAAAATTATAACAGTACAAATTATATTTAAAGTAAGACTGTAACCCAATAAGTTGTTTCTTTTTTATGTGTGGGTGAAAAGGTTAACAGCTATCATCTTACTTGTTGTAAACAGCTTTTTTAAATGAACACAATTGGAAAAAAAAATAATTTTTACCTGGATTGACAAGCTAATGGCTAGTCATAACAAGAACCAGATGAAAGTGGATTGCTGTCATCTTGAAAGAACTCCAGTCTCAATAATATCATATCAATACGGGCCGCAGCCAATTTATAAACTTTTACACTGTTGCCATATTTTTATTACATGATTTTTTGCACAGATTTTTATAGTTCTTTGCAACCACAAATTCAAGCAGCAAGAGCACAAGCTGTAGCTTTTCCTTGAAGCAATTTCCTCGTGCACCTGCTTTGAATGTTGTCAATACATTAAAGGGCCGTTATTAGTGGTTATCAGTCCCATACAATGTGTGCACTGTATGGGACTTCCGTCTACACTAACCAATAAGAACATGTCTTACATAGTTCCTCCTTAGGCCCTGCCCCGGATTTTCATGTTCTCTGAGTTCAAAACTTTTTTTGAGTTCAACCAAAAACTTAGAGCATCAACCAAAAGGTTGAGATTCAACCAAAGATTTCTGACATGCAAAAAAGGTGTCTTTTTTGCAAAAGCTTTTTGATTTATTATTTCTTATTGAAACTGATTTTTTGTTTAATTGAATAATAAAAACTAAATTACCTCCATACAAATGGAGTCTTTAAAAAAATCTACGACTAGTATGATGTTAATTGTTTACAACATTTCCACAGAATTCTCATTTAAAAGATCCAAACTATTCATTTAATCTTCAAATTCAGAGCTTTGGTGTACCCTTCACTACAGGATCCAGTGGGTTTGGTGAGGCCAGCAGAGTCACAGTAAAATCCCCCCAAACATGGTTTACAATCCTCTTTGTCACGTAGGCCTGAACTGTTCGACCAGCTTCCTTTAGGGCAGACTTCAGGAGCTGTGGTGCCTGCACATTGGACACAAACAAAACTCAACCTCAAATAAACACATTCTTAAAAATGTTACAGTTTGCTGTTTCATCACGACAATGTTTCACACAAAATAAGCAGTTTAAAGTTAACAAGTGAGGCATTCTTATAAATCAACCATTGTTGGTTGGGAGTATTGAGCAGCTTGCAACACAGCAATTCGCCCTTTAGCAGCATTTTAAAAACATGAGTTATCCAAGGAAAAGAGGGCAAGTGTGCAAATTATTTCAAAGACAATTGTTGAAAAAGTTGTTACAAAATATATGTTGTCAGAACTTGCTGAAGGCTTTTATATGGTAATTAGCATGAATAAAACATGGATTCCATGCAATAAAATGGGTCAAAATGTTAACAGACTGGCATGGTGTAAATCTGACTACATTAACCTACAAGTTAAGAATGACATCAGTATTATATAGCAAACCATACTATTTAATTAACAACGTGGACCTTTTGGAAGATTATAGATCTTAAACGATTATTGAGCAACTTATTGAGAAAATAATAAGCAAACAACCTGAGGGGCAGTAGTGACCAGGAGGGCACAAGGAGCCCGAGAGTCCTTCCTGGGGGCTGGGAGAGGATGCACCCAGTTTGCAATAATAACCAGCATGGCACAGTCCTAAGGGTAAAATAACATCATGTCATATTTTCATCACACAGAAAGTCAATTTAGACACTTCTGTAGCTAAGCTAGGTGTGTTGTGTTGTGTTATAAAATCCAATTCAAGATGCTGCCACAGCCATTTGACTTTACAGAATCCAGTCCATACATACATACAGTACATACATACATA